CTCCGTGAAAGACTAGAACAGCAAGAGTTTCTTCGCGCAGTATATCACCAGCAGCATATCTTGCAATCACACTGAACTGCGCCAAATGGCTTACGCCCGTTGACCCATCCAAAGCCAGGGAAAAGAACGGCACTGCATTGTTGTCTTTCAATTGCGTTTCCTCCATGTGGGTTGCCATTATGATGGTACGCTTATGAACAGCGTTTGCCAACACAGGTATATCTTGTATCCGTTTGATTATTTTGTCCTTGTTCAGAAGATCATCAAAAAGTCTATTGGCTATATCTAGCATGAACGTTTTAGCATACTCGCCATCTGTGAACGGTTTTCCGTTCCTAACCATTGCTAAAGATGCAGCAAAGCTAGCGGAGTTATAGTCACCTTGCTGGATCCAAAAGCGGAGTTGCTGCTGGCTGGCTTGCATCCTGCTTATTAGCTCTTGGCATGCTTTCTTTCTGCTACCTCCCGTAGGGTATTTTGATGCAAAGGTAAGAGATGGCGTGTATTTAAGTGGCGCCTTATAGTCGACTGTTTAATCGATGTCATCTTGTCATTGCAAATTAGACACACCACATAACCTGCTCTCTCCACAAAGGCGAATTCTTCAACCCGTTCGTCCTGAAATGTAAGATACGCCTCATCTTTTTTTCTTTTTGCCATCTTCTTTGTTGCAGGTGCTAACCTTAGGCAAGTGACAGAGAGAGTGCGTGTGTAGCGGTAAAATACGTGCGATCTACTATAACCACTACACTAAGAGTATTCCGTCTGATGAAAGAAAGCAGTCAGATGTTAGGAGCGATTAAATAGTACACAAGGCAAGTTTTCGCGAACGGACTGTTTGCTTGCGTGTGATAAATACGTCCGCCTGGGGGACATAACCACAAGGGGCTATAGTTGAAAAGGCAGGCTGGCCTATGCGCGTAAGATAGCCTTGTCTGCCAGCGTGACCTTGAATAAGCTGAGGTCAAGTCTGGGGGCTGTCGTGCTTAAGTAGAGCGTCTGTCACTTGCCGAGCTTGTCGCGGTCGTTGGGACGCAGGAGAAAAGGGAAGTAGCTGCTGTCGGCTAGCCGGAAAGGGAACACTGAAATAACTCCAAGGTTAAGCCTGGGGGGCGGAAACGCTAGAGATTGGTCGAGATTAAATTGATTCTAATGCGCGTCTCGGTAGCGGCACGTCATTGGAGGAACCAAAATCACAAAATTTGAAGTTTACAATCCCGATTTTATCTGAGAGAGCCAGACGCAAACATCAAAAGAGCCACACCTGGCTCGCGAGCCATATGTTGCTGATCCCAAGCATAGGGTCACAGAGGTCTCATGGACACATAGTTATCGCACTGTACCTTAATACTCGACCTACAGCCCCTGAGACAGGCGCAAAGCGATTATTGATAGAGACTGAAGGGAATTAGCGACAAAGACTAGGAAGACTGAAATAGCCATTTCTGGCTTGCGCCAATCTCATTCTGCATGTATTACTAGTTGCTGTGCGACTACCTGCGGTTTGAAATTTTTAAGCAGAGGCGTGTCAAAAGAAGAATACTTGTTTTTAAAGATCAAAAGATAGTGTGTCAAGAACAACACACTGGATTTACGTACAAGGCAGTATCTTAACAAAATTTGTTCACTGAACAAACCGTACCACAGTATTCTT